TTTCCGTATATGCAAAAACACATAAAAACGACCGCTAAACGGAAATTGTTTATTTTCTTTTATGCAAGATGATTTACGGTATTGAGCGCACAATGTAGTTTTTCGTGTGAAGAAACAACCGTTCATGCAATTAACCTAATAACTTCAAGTTTGGTGCAAAAACGCATGATCGCAGCGGTCTCTTGGTGCGTTTCAGCCTAGGTTGTGAGGAGATGTTGCAGGCACGCTGCCAGAGAACGCACCCATGATTTCGCGGTGCTACGTTGTGATGAGTACTCTGTGAGTTTAGATGTTACGGAGTAGTGCGTAGATAAATATGGAAATTAAATTCTGGCTTACAGTCCCACAAGCAGTCGCAAATTACGCACGCAGCATTTCGACGTGTTAACAGATGCCTATACTCAAAAAAAGCGGCGCACAACAGGTGGCCGCTGAGATCGTGCGTTTTGAGCGGTTCTATTCAGCAAAGCTAGAAGAATGCCGGTAAATTACAGTCTGGACTTTTGTGCACCCGTCTTCGAGAAACGGGGATGCATGGAAGCTAAATTTGGATTGTTAAAATTACGCACAAGCATCAAAGTTGCAAATTTTCAACTTCTCACCAAAGTGTTCCGTGTGTAAGGATATGTGAATACCTCGGTAGTAACACTTTAAGCCTCATTTAAATTTCCAGTGTGACATGTAGACTATAACTTTCTCATGAAATTTTAACTTTCTATTTTATCTGATTCCCGAGTTGGCATATTTTTTGCCAAAGATCCTATGCTTCTGCCCGTGAGACCTAGGAGTAAGTTAAAGCCAATTTTAAACTTCTAAGAGCGCATATAGAACGTTTCACTTTCCCTCCCCTCTCCCCCGATTCTTCTAAAAAGCCGGGTAAAAACTCAGTCAGTCTGAAAACACGCGTTTTCCGTTGCAGCGTCTTTGCAAAATATATGAAAATGCGTATTAAATATTTTTTTTATTGCTTACAAAGGGCATGAATTTCCGGATGTTTAGGCCGCTCAGAGAGACATTCCGATTGATTGCACTGCATTTTTGGTACTGGATTTCAAAAAACATTTTGAAAACTATTTCTTGTCGAAGGACCAGAGCACTATAGTCGTCTTGCCGCCGCAGTATATAAAATCTACTGAATGCTTTTGGATTATGCCGCAGCTTGAAAAAGTGATGGCACAAAATGGGTCGATTGCACTGTTTCGAAGTCATCTCTTGAGTGAGCAAGAATGTTGGATTATGGTAGATCTGGACACAATGGTAGTGGATCGTATATCTGCACCTCTCAGAGTTGCCGAGTAAGCGACTTTCCAACATCTCTATGCGAATATCAGCAAAC